AAAAGCCATATGATCCTGTCACTAGTTGGAGAAAAGTATTGGACTAAATTCCACAGCTGTTCATGGTAAAAGCTATCAGGAGACTAGAAGTAGAACAGAACCTTCTCAACAGATGAAAGACACATACTTATATGAATAGAGAAGATGCAATGCTTTCTCCCTAAGGTGGGGAACAAGGGCAGATATACCTGCTCTTCATCTGTCCATTAAACTTTGAAACACAGGCCCAAACCAAAATAGTCTGGCAATAAAAAAAACCAAATAGCACAGGATTAGCAAGGTAGAAGTAAAATCTTTATATGTAGATGCAACACCTGTATTTGTTTTGAAAAGCACATCCTTGGACTTACATCCAGCACACAGAACTCACATGGCAGTTTGTAGCCTCAAGTGTGGAATGTGCTTATGCAAATACACAGGTGAGGTGGTTCTCCATTTCACACCTCCCACTTCCTCTCCAACAAGAAAGGGAGAGTCCAATGTCTGGTCTCTGTGGTGTGCCATAGCTATGACAATGACATCCACCAATACCTATGACCTGCTAGCCACTCAGCAGTCACACACATGGGGACAGCCCTCCACAGGCACAAGCACAGTCTTTTTAGCAATATGATAGACTTGCAAAATAGGGTTTTTCAGATTCTAATTTTCCCTTTCAGAGCTCAGAGAGGAGGCTCCCTGCCTGTCCAGCAGCCTGTCTGTAAGAACCCAGCAGACCTGGTGCTGCCACTTCCTGATCAACTGGAACTCCAAAGTTCTTTATATCAGGGCCAATGGTCAAGGCTCAGAGTGACTTTCCTATCAAGATCAGTAACTGCAGCTTTCTAAGGAAGCTGGCTTTGTCTTTCTTTTCTTTCCTCTCTCCTTCTTTCTTCTTTTGCAGTACTGGGGACTGAACCCATAGCTTTTGTACTGAGCTACATTCGAAGCCCCTTTTTTATTTTGAGACAGGCCCTTGTAAATCACTCAGTTGCCCAGGCTGGACTCTAATTTGAGACCCTCCTGGCTTGGCATGTGCCACCATGCCTGGCCTTTCCTATGTATTTTTTCTTTTATTAGTACATGTTTACAGTACACAACGATTCTATTTCTCGTGCAGAGCGCTGGTACATGTACATAACACATCTTAATTCTTTTTTTATCCTATTCCTCTATTTCCCATCTTTTCTTCCTTTTTTTTTTTGGTACCAGGGATCAAACTCAGGTCCTTGCACTTGCGAGGCAGACGGTGGAACCACTGAGCTAAATCCCCAGCCCTCCCATCTTTTCTTAATAGCCTGACTGACAAATGTCTTTTACCTGAAACAATGTGAAAAAAAAGAAGAACTTTAAGCCACAGGCATTTTATTTAAGGTAAAAATTATAGCCTGATGGTCTGATAAATTCCCTCCTGGTTTGAAAATATGAAAATTAAAAGAAACAAGTTGATTTTGTTATCACTGGATCTAATGCAGCAGCTAGTAAACCATGGCTCTCAGCCTAAACTTGCCCTGTGGTTGTGTGTGTGTGTGTGTCTGTGTGTAGGGGGTGGTGGTGGTGGTGTGTGCGTACTAGGTATTGAATCAGGGCCTTCACATTGAGGTATATTCTAGCTCTTGGTCAGCCTGGGCAATTTAGTAAGACATTACCTCAAAATACAAAAGAAAAAAGGATTTCGGGATGTAGTTCAGTGCAAAGGCCCTGGGTTCAATCCTCAGAACAAAAAAACAACCAACCACAAGCCAAAACAAGAAAAGTAAGGTAGGTTCAGTGGCACATACCTGTAATCCCAGTCACTATGGAGAATGACAAATTCAAACCCAGCTTAGGCAACTTAGTGAGACCCTGTCTCAAAAAATGTGCGTCTGTGGGCTTGGGGATGTAGGTCAGTGTGAAGGCCCTGGGCTCAATCCTTAGGACTACCAGAAAAATGAATGAATGAATGAATGAGTTGGTGGGTGAGTGAGTGAGTGAATGAAGGAAGGAGTGAGGGAGAGAGGAAAGAGAGAAAGAGTGCGGAAAAAAGAAAAAAAATCATAAAAGGATGTATGATCTGATGCACGGCTCCTCTCCCTCCCAGGAATCACTACCCAATGCCTCCCCAGTACAGTGCACCCATAATTCTCTCCAGGAAAAGCCTGAACAACCTCCTGGCACAAATACTGAGAATCAAAGGCTGTAACAATCCAAAGCTGTGCTTAGTACCTAGCACACGCAGTCTGTGAGGAATTCACCCTTCTGGGTTGCTGCCACTTGTGCCTGCCTTTGAGTAACCTGGGAATGACTGTAGGTCAACCCTCCAGTCTTATGCTGCAGGGAACTCAAGTGAGGGCATTATCAACCAACACACAGGAGATCCAGGAGTCTCATGCATGTATCCCTTTGAAGATTTAATGCTCCTGCTCTCTGTTTTGGTTTTTCTGAGACAGGCCATGCTATATAGTTTGCGCTGGCCTTGAACTCAATATGCAGCCCAAGCTGGCCTCCAAGTCCAAGTGATCCTCCTGCTTCAGCCTCCCTAGTGCTGGAATTCCAGGTGTGTGCCACTATACCTGGCTTGCTTTTGTGTTTTACTATCAAGAATTTGTGCCTGAGTTATCAATTAAAAAAATACTCCCTGAGCCACTATATGCAAAAGCAAGGTACAAGTTATAATGGAAAATAAGCAGAAGACACAAATTCTCCAAGGAACCTAAAACCTTTTAAGGGGAGATCAAATTCAAACACTTAAGAAGATTCAAGAGAGTACAAGTTCCAAACAAAGACAAATACAGTCTTAACAAATCGGAGTGGTCTTCACCTTGCTAATCATCCAATGAGACATTTATCTAAGAGCCATTATAAGGTGCCTGGTTCCTCTTGAAGTAAAAAGAGGTTCCTTGAGGACCTCCCAGTTTCCCTCTATCACCCTGCAGCCCAACTCAACCGTCTATCTCCAGGGTAAGGCTTTCTCAATACAATCCCAACAGCTTCCCTCTGATCCACCTGGGAATTTTATTATGCCATCAGTGAACTGCAGAGCATAAGTCCCCCTCACTTCATATAGTCCTGCTGCATAATAAGCACTCTGGAAGAATTTATTGACCAGAGAACTCAACTGAGTTTTATGAGGCAGCTCCTAAATCATTTGTTTCATTTTACAGAAGACAAATGTTCTTTCAGAACAGGTTTGGGGTTTAGTTCGTAAGTAGTGTCGGACCCACATTTAGTTGCTACCAGTGGTTACCTCTGGACAAGCTCATATACTATTGTACAGTTTTCTGTACTGTGAGATTTTTATGAGAGCTACATTCATAAAATACTGGCATTGAAATACAAAATAGTAGGGCTGGGGATTTAGCTCAGTGGTTCCACCGCCTGTCTCGCAAGCACAAGGTCCCGAGTTTGATCCCTGGTACCAAAGAAACAAAGAAGAAAGAAATACAAAATACTAGAAGCATTCCTAATTTGTATGATAAAAAAGAATGAATCAGATGACCCTGAAGGCCCCTTCTGGCTCTATGACACAGGTACAATTATGTCTTTTTTTGGTACTGGGGATCGAACTCGGGTCCTTGCGCTTGTGCAGCAGGTGGCAAAACCACTGAGCTAAATCCCCAACCCATAATTATGTCTTTGACATCTGGAAAAATATAAAGTATAATGTGGCTAAGATCTTCAGTAGCTGGGGAAAGAGAAGCGGCAGGTACACCCTGGGATGGTGAGATCAGGGTGGGGGCAGTGGGCTGCTGTTCTCTGTGGGGTGAGTCATACAGAAGTCCTACCGCTGGGTGCTAAACCAAGCAGACACCGATTGTCCTAGTGCAATTCTAGTCTGCTTGCCATGAGCCATGCTCCTGGTGCTCCCGATATGCACAAGGCCTGCAAGTGACTGCTTCTGAGGCAGGAGCAAGGCCAAGGACAAGGGGGTGGGTGAGATTTGAGGTCAGAAGTCTGCAGGAGTCCCCAGGGTCCCACTGTGGCACATTAACAATACAAACCAGGGCTGGGGCTGAAGGTAATTAAAAATGCTCACTGCTCTCAGCAGCCTGGAGAACAGACTTATTTCCTTCTCTCTGAGGTAGGAACACTTAGGTGAAAGAATAAACATTTGTTGAGAACTATCATATGCCAATCATTATGCTCTGGGAATATAAACATTTAAGATGCTGCGCCAAGGGATCATCAAACATATTCAACACAGAACTGTGTAGTAAGTTCCTTCCTTTCTTTCTTTTTTTTTTTGTTGTTGTTTTGAGACAGGGTCTCACTGCGTAGTTCAGGCTGGTCTTGAACTCACTATGTAGCCCAGGCTGGCCCAGAACTAATGGGGACCTTCCGGCGTCAGCCTCTGGAGTGCTGGGTTTACAGGCTCGCGCCACCACACCCGGCAGTAAGTACCCTTTTTTAAACTTAAAAAAAAAAAGGAATTATGAAACACACTTGGTCCCAGGGGTTTTATAGAAAACTAATTATGGACTTGCAAAAAATACTTTTATTTTTGAAGATCACTAACGATTATTAATCTACAATGCATATCATTACTATATAGTATCATTATATACTACATACTACTATTACCAAAACGAATATGCTAAGTTAATTCCCTGGAAAGACATAATAAACAGTATGACATCCACCCCAGCGGTCTCAGCTCAAAAACAGTGTATGAAACAAGCAGGTGGGTTCTCCCTTGGGAGAGCAGTGGGGCCCCACTTACGGGTGTGGCTTCATCTCTATGTAGTTCTTGGGGATGAAGCCATCCTTGCCGTTGAGCTCTGCCTTGTACCAATTCTGATCACATTCTTCATTCAAAACCTGAGAAGAAATCAGACAAGAAAAAATCAACCATTTCTCTTCCCCTCTAAGGGTAGCCACAAGACAATCTGTGCTGTCTTAGGTTTGTGAAATGTCTTATTTCAAGTATTATCATTTACACAGAGGTAAGACAAGACTACTTGTAACTTCAAACAAACAGCATTATGTTAAACTCTGAAAATTAAAAAGAAAAATAAATTGTCTCTGGAAATCGAAGGTCAGGCTTCCAAACATCCCCCCTCCCCAAACACCTTAAATTAAATCTTCAGAAGGAAAGCAGAGCTAGGCATAGTGGTGCATGCCTGTAATCCCAGCACTTGGGAGACTGAGGCCGGAGGAAAGCTTAAGTTCAAGGCCACCCTGGACTATAGAGTGAGACCTTGTCTCAACCCGCCTCTCCTGTAAAAAGAAGGAAGCAGAAAGCATGACAGGGAAAAGTATTTTTATTGGTTTGTTTTTGAGACAGGGCTATGCAGTTCAGGCTGGCCTTGCTTCACAGCCTTTGCAGTGTTGGGATTAGAGGCGCATGCCACTGTGCCCAGCTTAGTATTAGTTTGGTTTTTTTTTAAAGAAAGGAAATAAAATTAGAGATTCTAGAAAACAGCACACATTGACATCAGAGAATGAAGGGAGCTTGATAAGAGATTAAACAGACTGCAACTTGGACAGAGGGAGGTGACAAATGAAGCAAGAAGCAACAGGTATCCTTCTCTGGAGATCTCTTAGAATCCACAGAGATCCAATACTGAGATTTCTCAACTGCTTTTCTAGATTACTCCAAGAACAGATTGTCCACCAAGCAGCTCCACAGTGCTGCTGTGTATGCACAACCACACACCCTTATATGGGAAAATTTTACTTATTACGTAGCCTAGGCTGGCCTCAAACTCCTGGCAATCCTCCTGCCTCAGCTCCTGAGTTCTGGGATTACAGGTGTGTGCCACCATGCCTGATAGGAAAATTATTTTTAATGACCAAGCATGACAAGTCTTCAGTATCCATTAAGGGTCATACTGTGCTCAGGTTAGGTAATATCAAAAGCACACACACCAACCAGCACAAATCAGGTAGAAGACTTTGAGATGACAAAGTGAGCCACTGCATTCTACAGTGGGGAAAACAGATCCAGAAAAATGAAATGGCTACCCCAGGTTATGAACTAGTGACCTCATGTAGCTCAGAATCACACCCAGGGCCAGAGTACAGCTCAGTAGTAGAGCACTTGCCTACCATGCACTAGGCTGAATCACATCCTTACTTTCAGATTCTAAATGAATGTTCTACAGCTGCCTCCCGTGAGTCACACAGACAGGACAGGCCTTGAGACTAAGCTGTAGATAATATGAGGACCAGAAAAGAACTTGGGATAAATGCCACACTACACTGTGAATTCTGTACTTCTATACTTTTAACAAAAGGCAAAGGGCAGAAAGCATAAAGGTGGTATTCTGAAAGAGAAAAGAAAATCTAGTCAGGCATGGTGGTATGTACCTGTAATCCTTTGGGAAGCTGAGCCAGGAGAGCATACATTTGAGCTCAGCCTGGGGAACTTAGTGAGGTCCTGTCTCAAAATTTAAAAATAAAAAGGGCTGGGGACATAGCTCAGCAATAAGGCTCTGGGTTCAGTCCCCAGTACCAGGAAATACAAAGAAGAGAGGAGACAAGAGAGAAGGGAGGGGGGGGAGAGAGAGAGAACAGAGATTGGTGCATTATTCTAAAACGGTGAGTGAAGGAGATGCTGACTAGTGCAATAGTAGTTACTCCACACCACGTTACAAAAAGGAAGCTGATGAAATTCTTTACAGAATCATCCTGAAAGACTTATTCAAAATACCCAAGAATGCTCTACTCACAGCCAAATTACAAGGTGGAGTGCTTTAAACCATCTGATGTCTGTGTGTTGACATTTCTTAGTGACAGGGGCAGACAGGCTGACAGGTAACAATGACTCGCCAAGTGCACGGATGACTGATCCAGGCTTGTTCACTTCCAGAGGCCTGGCCTAAGGAGCTTTGCCCTGCTGGTGCTGATCTGTGATGCTGGTCAGCCTTGGGCCACAGGCAGTGTCACCAGGTTTACGTGCACATGAACACAAGATAGGATGACCAATCCTGTGAGAGCTAATAAATGTGAACAGTAAGAGTTCCAAAAAAAATTACTACTGCTGAGTATGGCAGCTTCACTGTTCTCGAGTCTCATACATGCCAACAGCGTGGTGATAAAAACTTTATTTTTCCCCTTTAAAGAATCATTTTATTAAAGACTGATGATATAAAACATATTAAGATGTATTAATAATTTTTTAAATCTTCACTTAAAAACACTAAACTGTGCTGCAGCCACCAGAGGCATTTTGTTGCTCACAAAGTCAAAATGAAGACAAAGGCTTGGGAAGGAGAGGGCTCCTAACCCTTCCTTCAGCACGGATCTCTCAGCAGCCTGCAGGAGAGGAGCTTCGTAACTTAACCAGCATTTGCAAGAAAGCCCTGACACTGGGATGGCGTAACTTAAAAAGATGTTTAAAAATTAAGTTTTATTCAAATATTTTTACGTACAAACTAGCAAAAGAAACAGACGAACATAAGTGAATTTAAATAGAGTGAGGGGGAGACTGGAGTCATAACAGGTGCCTATGAAGACTGGTTCTAGATGAAAGAGTACATCCTCACGAATATTGCTTCAAGCCTGATATAGTGTTGAGGAGGAGGAAGTTGCTTCTGTCACCGTTTCCTCACAAAAGATGGCTTCGCAAAGCAAGATTTCCATTTATACCAGTAACAATTGGAAATTTTCTGAACAGTTAAACAAAAAAAAAATTCAGGGATGAGATGTAGATGTTGTGGGCCGCGATGCAGCTCAGCAGCACAGTGTTTGCTTAGTGGGCCTAAAGCCCTGCATCTGATCCTTAGGCAAGTGCGCCGCGCGCACACATGAATGATGCTATAGGTCTCAGACCCAGTAGAACGGACCTGATCTGGTACCAAGAACCCAAGATGTAATCCAGAGAGCCTACATGCATAAAGCCAAATTCCAGTCTCAGGAACAATGAACAATGACTCTAGGCAAGCTAAGTTTTGGTTCTTTTGAGTATAAAATAGTGGTAACACTTTACGCTGAGAGAATCAAGTAAGAAAATGTAGTAAGTGCTATAGCAAACATAACACTGTGACACTGACATTCCCACAGTTGGTGGACAAATTTACTTCACAATGGATTCTTTGATACATTAGCAGCCTTAGATCTAACCAAATGTGCCAATCCTGGGGGACTCGGTTTTACCTTCTCTAAATTAGGTCTCTGCCGCAACACTTTCCATGGGATCCAACAGTACATATTAACAAAGAACTGGGATTCTTGTTTTAGTCAGAAAACACATGGGTTCAAGACAACTGTGTTTACTTCATAAAAGATTTTATTTTTCTTTCATAAAAGATATTTATTTATTTGAAACAGGGTCTCGCTATGTAGTTCAGGCTGGCCTCAAACTCACAGCAACCCTCCTGCCTCAGCCTCCTGAGCACTGGGACTATAGGCGTGCACCACCATGCCTGGCTCAGAAAAGATTTTATTTTATTTTATTTTTTTCTCCCTCCAGTGATTTATTAAGGTAAACATGGGCGGGACAGCTCACTTGGCCCAGGGAGCCCAGGTCCAGCCCAGCACCAGAGACTGAACCCCCCCACTCCCAGACTCCACAGCCACTGGCCAATTCGCTGAGGTGCGTTGAGGACAAATTCGAGGACCCACGCGGAGCTGCTGCTGAGCGGGCCAAGGCTAGGGTAGGGTCCAAGATGCCTTCTTCACACAACGAGAAAAGATTTTAATTGCAGAGTTTAAGGACTGCTAATTATCTTCCCTGTCCCTTCTATATAACAATAGCAGGAAAGAGAAGAATTGCATTGCATTTTTACAATTATTAAAAAATGTGAAGTGTCTAGTATACAGAATATTGCCCTTTGAAATGCAGGGATTATTTCTTGACTAAATATAATCAGTCATCTGTAAATGAACAACAAAAAAGGAATCATGATCTCTTTTTCTTTCTCTCTTTTTTTTTTGGTACCAGGGATTGAACTTGGGACCTTGCGCTTGCAAGGCAGGTGCCAGATCCACTGAGCTAAATCCCTGGCCCTCTTTCTCTCTCTTTTTTTTTTTTTTAAAGAAATAACTGTCTCGTTAGTCCCATCAAACCTTTCAACATAGGCTCTAATGCTAACAGCTTGCAGGGTATTCAACATATCTTCAAGGGAAAATTGTTCAAAGCTCTAGCAATCAGCGAGGCAATTCATTTGTTTTTTTTTGTTTTGGTACTAGGGATTGAACTCAGGACCTTGCACTTGTGAGGCAGGCAGCCGGGCCACTGAGCTAAATCCCCAGCCCCAGGCAATTCATTTGCTTAAGAGCATTTGTATGCTGGCCATGGTGGCGTATGCCTATAGTACCAGTACTCATGGGGGTGAAACAGGAGGATCCTGAGTCTGAGGGTAGCCTAGGCTACAGTGCATGAAAGATCTTTTTTTTTTTGGCAGTACTGGGGATTGAACCCAGGACCTTGTGCAAGCTAACCAAGTGATCTACCACTAAACTATAGACTCTGCTCCACACCTCTTTTTAAAATTTTATTTTGAAAGGTTTTGGTAAATTGCCCAGGCTTGTCTCAAACTTACGAACATCCTGCCTCAGGCTCCCAAGTAGCTGGGATTATAGGTGGGCACCTTCATGCCCAGGTAAACATTTAAAAAGTTTTTTATTGGCACATGTCTGCATAATGATTACCTTCATCATGGGGAGTTGGTACCTGTACATAACATCTCAATTCTCTTTACTTGCCCTCCCTCAGCTAAACATTTTTAGGCTCCAACATATTAAAAACCAAAACCACCATACATGGCTAGTCCCTGCATTATAGAAATTCAATGTAAACTACTGAATTTTTACTAGTCCTTCTAAGACCCAGGCAATGCCAGGTTGAGTATCAGTCAATCAACCAATCCCAGAGG